AGCAAATCCATCCCTACAGTAAAGGCTACAGGTGGACACAGTGGATATGAAAGAGGCTGATTAAGAGAAGAAATAAATGAATCATTCATCTACAGTGCGGCATCTTCGATCTGTTGGTTGTTGAGCCGATCATCTGCAGGCAGGCAGTTGTTCCACCAATCACTGCCTCACACCTAAGAACTCCAGTTAGCATAAACATGTCCTCTCAAAGCACTTCATGAAGAAATCCAACAAATCCAGAGCTTCCTTTGGATTCCTGTTGAGCAAGCACTCGGTGACGGTGGGAAGGAACAAAAACCCTCCCCTTTGCTGGGAGGTAAAACAAAAAACCCCAGACAGCACCAGGCTAAGGAAGAGCAGCCATCTGCCTCCATCAGTTGGGGTGAGGAGGGGGGACCATGATAGCAGATGGAGAACAGACAAACAATACATAAGAGAACAATTTTGGAGATCCAGATCCAGAGGCACTTGTAGAGAGGACAAAACACAAACTACTAAGACACAAAGTTAGTGGCATGTCATGGTGGTTTATACATCTACTGAAAAGAGAGAGGAGAGTAGAGGACAGGTGCTCGGTGCATCGTTGGAATCCCCCAGCAGACTCAACCTACAGCAGCAAAACTAAGATTCTGAGTTCGTCCTAACTTTAAGCCTAATAAAAAAGGAAAGTTGAAGCCTCGGCCTCTCATTCTACTTCTGCAAACTCTGGGAGCCACAAACAAACCTGCAGTCTGAGGGTGAAGGGCTCTTTTGGGACATTCTGGTACCAGATCTTTAAGCACTGACTCAGACATGTTTTTTGATAGTTTTCACCCTAAATATTTTAAAAGCTGCTTCGACTAAAGGTAATTCCCCTCCTGATCATTAGCTACAGCCAACTTTCACTGTCAACTTCCTTAAAAAAGAAGAAATCTTACAAAGAGCAACCGGGGAGCTGATCCCTGTTCCTCTATTGTGACATGCAAAGTTTAATATGAGGCATCATTCTCTCAACCTCTTCCATATGTGTGAGTTTAGCTGTAAACTGTCTTCTTCATGCCCACCAGGTAAACGAGGAAGCAGCAGCAGCAGCAGCAGCAGACATCCGTCCTCTGAGCTGAGTCCACTGAGTCAGTGCAGCTCTCCATCTCCCAGGCAGAGGATGTTATCTGAACCCTGGCTCGCCATCCACAACCTGGCCTGTCTGAACAGGGCTTACGAGGAGGGAGTGAGGGAGAGGATCCCGCTGGAGGAAGGAAGCCGGCAGGATTTGAGCAGCGAGGGAGGACGGAAAGAGGATGAGGATGAAGACGAGGGGTCACGTCTTCATGAGTCCAGGGTGGCTCAAAGGAGGGATAACACACATGAAGGGGAGAATTACAGCAGCTGCTCGGAGGATTTCTCTCTCAGGGCTTCTCAGTCTGTCCTCTCGCTCACAGAGATGAACTCAGCTCACGTAAAGTCAAGCATCCTGAGGAGGTGTCAGACTCCCGGAGGGTCAAACTCGGACGACAAGCTCCCCGCCTGCCCTCCGGGTCACCCCCGTCTCCGTAGAAACACCCTCCCCTCCGTCACCGTGGTGCCTCCTCTGCTTCACCTCCCTCCTTTAGACTCTCACCTCCAGGTCCCAACCCAGGCTTCACCCTCCAGAAGCAGGAGGATGGCGTTTCTGCCTCACCCGCCCAGCTCCTCTCCTCCCTCCAGAGCATCAGCGAGACCAGCGTTGCTCCCCCCGCTGTCCTCCTCCGTCACCTCCCTGGTTGCTCCGTCCTCCTCCGGCTGCAGCGACAGAAGCAGGAGGTCGCAGCGACGTCACTCAGCTCAGCTGGAGCAGCTGACAGGAGGAGCGCTGATGAACGCTGTAGACCTGTGAGACGCTACTTCAGGCACAAGCATCCCTCCGTATGGTTTTAGGGGGAAACTACTTTAACAATACAGCCACAGTCGTTAACAAAACATAGGTTAAAAACTGCACAACTTCTGCACAATAGTTCACAAAGCACAACTTTGAGTAGCAACTTGATTTAAGCAGATATTTTTTCAGCAGAAGTTTTTCTTGATTTCTAAACTACATCTATTAGACTACAACTTGTTTCAAATCCTTAGTTGTTGTTTTTTTTTCACCCTTTTTCCCATTTGTTTGAGGTGTTTTAGTTGCATACGCACTTTTAAAACAAAGAGAGCACACATTGTTATTTAAGGTACGTACCTGCATTTCACACCAGTGTTTATACATTTTAAAAGAACAAAATGTCGTAGTTTACAGGTGATTAGCTACAGTTAATGTTGATTACAGTGACAACATTTTGTACATATAGTGCTCTTTTAAGTTACAGTTATACAAATAATGAACTCTTTCACTATACTACACTGGTAACACTGAAATGCAGTAAAATGCTGGTAACCACAGCGGTCAGTGTTGTAATTTAACAGGAAAATGCCTTATTTGGGTCGACATCTGGCTGCAGCAACAGTTATTTTGAACCAGAAATGCCAAACGAACCAATAAAACATAAAAAATAAATAAATAAAATGAGATTAAAAACTTTTTCCTGCCTGTAATATTTGGTTAATGGTCACTTTTCATAACAGTTGATCAACACAGAACTTAAACAGCTTCCCATCCATCCATCATCTATACACCACTTAATCCTCACTAGGGTCATGGGGGGCTGGAGTCTATCCCAGCTGACTCAGGGTGAAGGCAGGTTCACCTGGACAGGTAACCAGTCTATCACAGGGCTACACTTAGAGACAGACAACCAAGCACACTCACATTCACACCTACAGACAATTTAGAATCACCAATTAACCTCAACATGTTTTTGGGAGGAAGCCGGAGAACCCGGAGAGAACCCACGCTGCACGGGGAGAACATGGAGACTCCACGCAGAAAGATCCCGGGTGTCCCAGGACGCAAACCTTCTTGCTGCGAGGCAACAGTGCTAACCACCGCTCCACCGTGCTTAGACAGCTTTGATAAGTAAAAAAAACCAAACAAAACAGCCCAAAACTCACCAGTTTCTGGTTTCCTTAAGTCTTCTGTGACTGTAAGTATCCTTCAATCTTAAAAAACAAAACAACAAAAAAACCCCACATGCAATCAACAGACATTTTTCACTAGATTCTCCTTTCTCTCTGGTCTCAAGTTCATCTTCATGCACCAAAATTACATATTTAGATTTTTTTTTACCCTATTCCAATCCCCTATTTCCTTAAAATGGTTTAAATGTAGCTCTGCATCATTGCATCCTTTAGAATGTATTGATTTATGAAACCTCTCTGCCTCTTTCTCTACCACCCTTGTGCTACTGCAGCTCGAGCACACCAGCTCACCAGCTCCATGCTGTGCAGTGGAAAGTTGTAATATTGAAGTTTGAGGCAGGAACACATTCTGAAGAAGAGTGATAAAGAAAGTCCCACCGTGAAAGCAGGATCGGTGCTACAGCCTCTGAATCTGTTTGTCAGACGGTCACTGGCCGCAGCATTGACTTGTTTCACTCCTGATGTGTATTCTGGCATAAAAACACAATGGACATGCTACCAAGGTACAAAAAAAATGTCTGCTGGAGCAATCTCTTCGATGTAGAGGGAAAAAAAATGTGCATGTTCATGGCAAAAGGAGTGAAGTCATTTTATTTGTTTTTAATATGTATCTACAACAAGGGGGACACAGGCAAAAAACGACTGACAACTTGATGAAAATTAAAACCAAAAAAATAAAAATAAACAAAACCAAAAAAATACATTAATTATCAATGCAGATTTCCCACCTTTTTTCCAATAAGCAACATTTTGTTGTCTAAAGAAACTTTACAATATAAAGAAACATACGAAGGAACCTCTTATTTTACTACACGAGACATTTAGGATCTGAAACTACCCTAACATGAGATACAAAGCAACTCCCCAAGGACAGACTGCCTCATATTCAATACTGCTTTGTCATCAAGAGGAAAAATGAGGAACTGAACAGAAAAATCTTTTTACTCCCACCCCCACCCCCTCCCCGAAAGTCCTCTCTTAACCCTCCCTCCCCCTGAATGTTACAGTATTATACATCAGCACGATAGAAATACAGAAATGATCAACGTTGTGACGGCTTTACTTACAGGACAGAAAGATAGAGAGAAGTTGGACTGCATTTTATACAACAGTATTTCAAAGTACAGGGGAGGAAACGCCTGTTCCTGCACTCTCTCTACCTCTTCTTAGCAACAAGTCTGTCCATGTGTTGGTTTTTTTTTGTGTTTTTTTATTTTATTTTTTTATGTCGTTTTTACTTTCCCAAAACATTTCTCCTGCCCCATTTTAAATAGATAAAAAAATCCTTCATAGTAAAGTATGTACTCTGGTCCCTGGTGCGTTGGATTGAGAGCCAGTGTCCTGTGTGCCCTGCTTTCTGATTCAGTTGTGTCAGGAGGGTAGAAGCTGAAATGCAGTGTGTCAGAGGCAGACACAGAAGGGCAAGTTTTAGTATTAAAAAAACAAAAACAAACGGTCCTCTTTCGCTCTGTTCTTGCAAATTCCCTGTCAAAAAATGACAAAATATATTCCCATTTAAGTGGCTTTTGTTTTGGCCACTGCAAACCAAGTTTGCAAGAAGAGAGGCCGAGGAGGGAGAGTCGTGTTTAGTTTTTAGGGAAATGTGCGTGACAGTGAGTTAGCTAATGGTGTTCACCCACACTTGACTAACATACAATTTCCTCCCTTGTCCTGCCGGACGCCCTCGACGCGACAGCTCTGATGCACAGTAAAGCCCCACGTTTAGTCTGTGATGAGGTGAAATAGCATAATAGTCTATAGCAGCTCCAGTTTTCTGTTTCTCATCATTCATATTATTTCTGAGTAAAAGACACGCCATCTCTGAACAAATACACACAGTCGCCCGAATCGGCACGTTTCTGATCAACTGTTAAGTTGTGATTTGAAATATCAAAAACATGTCAATGATATCAAAATGCATTTTACAGTATTTACAAAAACTTAAAATCAAAAAGATGGAGAGTTGTACAAAAAAAAAAATCAGAGAGGGATGGTGTGTTACTGAGTGTCTGTGTGTCAATGCTGGCCTGTTGGAAAGGTAAGAAAAAGGAGGGGAGGCGTTTTTTGTTTTGTTTTTGTTTTTTTTTTTAAGGTGAGCAAAAGGGAGGGAGGCCACTCGGTCAACAGAGCAACGCCTTGCTGCTTTCCTGATTCATAAAAAAAACAAAAAAACACTGAAGATGTGATCAGCATGTGGCCAGAAGTCCTCTCACCAGAAGTGACTGTGACAACAAAACGTCTGCGAGCTAAACTGACTGACTGACTGGTGTGTGTGTGTGAAAGCAAAGTTTCTATAAAGACGTACATCACAGTGTGTTGAGAACTTATCAGCAACAAAACAAAGAAAAAAAAACAAAAACAAAAAAAACAATCCGAGTGTTCACGACAGGTCAGCAGACAGACGCAACCTATGTACACGATGGAGTGACCGGGAAGTGGGAAGCGTTAGTGAAAGCAGCACGAGTGGGGTCGAAATGGTCGACGCTTGCGATAACATCAGCACCTTTTGGAGGGGCTCGGATAGAAGGGTCTAATGACGTCAAGACGGGGGGCGAAGGAGTGGATCTGCATATTTACACAGTTGCTACTAGTTCTGCAGTTGACAAAAACCAGGGATAACACTTAAAAAAAAACAAAAAAAACATAATAATGATTCATAAGACAAATTAAAAGTACATAAATAAATAGAGCTGTGCATTTCACTGCAGGGAAGCTACTAAAGCAGGAGGCGCTTCTTCTTCTTCTTCTTCTCGTGTGGGTTATCAAGAATTTAGATCTTCTAAAAAGGAAGTTGCTATCCTCTGAGAAAGATTTATTTTTAAATACGACCAATCTGTACCGTGATGGAGGAACTCTTACCTGCAGGGGGCAGTGTGCTCGATTAGAGCCACATGCTACACAGCAAATAATTTCTGATTCGTGTGCACATATGCTGTCTTCATCATAATAATGTGCCCTTAAAAACAACAGAAATTAGAACCTAATCTTAAAATGATCATAACAATATCATTAATAACAATAATACAATAATAAAAATAGCAATGATACAATACATACACAAAAAAACAAAAAAAAAAATGGAAAAAAAAAACCATGTTCACTGATCATCACAACACCTCTGTTACAAATGTACACGCACAGAGAACAATGTGAAGGGGCGGCGGGGAGGCGAAAGACGGGGTCGTATCATCCGACCCTCCACTGAATCCGTCGGGAACAGCAACAAAAAAATATTTAAAAAAAAAAAAAGTCCAAAGTTGTGGTTGAGAAGCTTCCAGGCAGCTGCTAAGAGACCCGACACTGGTCCACAGGGGAGGGCTGTGTTTTCCAGTCTCCTCTCTCCCCTCTTTCTCTCTCTGTTTATCCTCCTTCCCTCGCTCATTGTCTAGACCCTGACAGAAAGCCAGGGAGGCCGGGGCCGGAGTCAGAGAGGAGGCTCTTCCTGTTGCTCTGTGACTGCTTCCTATTCACACCGGCAGCCATTTTGCATGCTCCGGGAGGGCCCGTCTTAATTAGAGTCCCAGCATGCTCGAGGGCTGTCCCAGAAGGCTGTGTGGCCGCAGAGTTTTCCCGAGTGAGAAGAAGAGGGGGGAAAAGTGGGCGGAGGTTTGTGGTGGTGGTGGTGGTGGGGTTGGGTTGGTAGTGGAGGCAGAAGGTGTGTTTGTGTGTGAGGAAGGGGAAGGTGGTCCAATCCGAGGTGAAGAAAGGATTGAATTGAAGAAAAAAAATAAAAAATAAAAATTCAGGTGCAGGGATACAAAAATAGGGAGGGGGAGGGGAAATAAACAAAAATACAAAAAAATAAAATAAAATAAGGAAAAAATAAAATCACACACTCATCGTCATGTTGGGTGAATACTGAAAAGAGAGAGAGAGGGAAGGGGGAGGAGGGCACAGATGAGTGGATATGTCACCGACAACATTCAAACACCAGAGGGCGCTCAAACCCAGCGCTGCAGAGCTGCAGGAGGCGCACACTCAATCAGTACTCTGCTAATTCACCTGTATGTTTAATGGTAGGTTTATGGTATCAAACCTTCTCTACTAATATTTGCCAGAAAGCACCAAACATTGCCGCTGCATACCCAGATTCACAGCAGGCGTCGTATTTACACACTTTTTATTTGATGATATAAATACAAATTTAGCCAATGTTTCATTCAGATGATGCCCAGCCCTGCTACTGATTAGCTGAATGGAGTTATTAGGACTCCAGCCTTCACATCCCGCGGCTCTGCAGGCTCAAGGTTAAAGCCCGTCACAGTTCTGCACAATACAAGGAGCAGTACCCCCCTCCACCTGTTGTGCTCCAAACACAAGGCTCAACAAATAACAGTCACGTGTTTACTTCAGTGCTTAAAACACCAAAAATCCACAACTATCTAAAAAACTTTAGTACAGTAGGCATTTATGTCAATCGACTGTAACCACATCACTGATACGGAGGGCACAGAACGAACGTCTACGTGATTAGTAAGCGGCTACAATGCAAGCAGAACACAGGCTAGGAAGGGTTCTTCGTAGGCCTGTGTGCTCCGGAGAGAGCGCGGCATGTTTTGCTTATCAAATTTACAGTGCTGTGTCCCGAGTTAGAAAGTATTATATAAAACTTTAAAGCAAGGAGTGCCGCACTTCAGGTCTGTTTGGTTCCTTGAAACCAAAACCTGACCTGGAAATCCAGCTGGGTCAAGTGGGATTGTGTTGTGTTGCCATAGGCCTCCTGTTTGCGTGTGCCAAGTGCATCTTAGTGGATTTGTAATCAGCTCAGATCATGCCACAGTAATAAAATGTGTTTTTTTTTGTTTGCATGACTGAGAATTTGGACTGTGAGATGCAGGAAAAATGGCGTGCATCGCTGTTATTTGTGACTGTGGGCGCTCGTTAATTCTCCTCATATTAATGACCTCTCTCTATTTAGGCCTGTTCTAACCACATTTTGGATTGGCTCCTCTTATCCATATGGGTCTACTTGGAGTGCGACTCTTTTAATTAACTTTGCTGGGCTTTGCACATTTGGACCTTTACTTCAAACTGCTTCTGAACTGCTGCACTTCCTATAAGCATCTCTTTTACTGCTGAAAAACAATCCAAAAAACAGGAGATGCAAGTTCAAAAAAAGCAAAACTGATAGACTATAACAGGAAAAATAAATGAATAAATTAAAAACTAAAAATAGGGACAGAACACAAATTTTTACCAAAAGCATCTACAGTAATTTGAGCTCATGATTGAAAACCCCTCTGCTTGCATTCTCCCACTGGTTTATGTCGGGACGTGAAGGATCAACTGTTAAGGGTCGTGAGATGCCATCCACTCACTCTACTTACACTTTCGCTTTGGAATGGGTTCAAGAAGTTGCCGCCCATTTCGCCGTCATCTCTCGGCGTTCCAGGAGGGTTGTTCATGCCCCCCATGTTATTAGGAGAGCTCTGGAGGGAGAGAGGGGGAAGAAATAAACTGATAAACCGCTTCTTATTGACCATCCAAGTGTAGAAGGTAGAGGTTCGAAATAAATGTTTTCGTTCACGAGAACACTCGGCAAACAACAGATGTTTATAGAAAATTTGATGTTTGCTCACCTTTGGCAACCCATCCATATCCCCAGACCCTGAGGATGGAGAAGGAGGAAAAAAAAAAAGAAATCAATTGCTTTGTTAAAGCTTACTGTCGTTTTATTTGCATGCACGGGCCAAACTGTGCTTACACCCACCTAGTGATCCATTCATGTGGTGTGGTTCCATGGCTCCCATAGCTCCCATAGGCCCGTCAGGCCCCGGCCCCATAGGGAACTGGTGGAGAGATGAAGAATAAGCCTCGTGAATGACTGTACCATCATTCTCCATCTTTGATATAATGGTGATCTTTTCGAACTCAGGGTGAAGCTGAGGTTATTTAATTTGTTTCCTCTGGTTTATTTCCACTAAATTCTCATTGAGCTCAGTGTGGCAGCATAATATTTCTCTAATGCTGAATTGTACTGGTGCCCAGTTATGTGGTTATAAGCCCTATTTGAGCTGGATTATATTTTGTGGGCACGTCTGTGTAATTTTAATCATTACAAAAACAGACATTATTTCAACCCAGAATCAATCTGCTACGTCTGAAACTGAAACAAGCCTGGAAAGTGCAACTTCTTAAAAATAACAATACGGAGCGTTTGGTTCAATAACTAAGTGAAGTTAAATCGTCTGAGACTCACATTGGGTCTGTTGCCTCCGGGTCCGATAGGATTCATCATTGTATAGATGTTTTCACTGGAGTTAGTTGAATCTAAGGAGGAACACAAAACAAAAACTTCCGTTAGAAGATATCAGAGAGAGATGATGTAAAAGCCTCTGAATCAATCATGAAGATTTAATCACGCAGTAAATTAAACATGAAAATGGAAAGGAGTGAGAAATGAGAACGCTCAGACTGGCTGGTGGTTAAGGGGACACATTCATGCTTGTTTAGTGAGGAAAAGAATGGGAGACACGTCTGTTTGTGACACACGAGTGTTAGTGCCGGGGACGTAGTTAGGTGACGCACCACCTGGGCTGGGCATGATGGGAGTTCCAGGTGGACCTCCTCCGCCAGGTGGACCCTGAGGAGCAATCATTGAAAAAGGATTAAAATTACACTACTCAGAATTCAGTATTCATTAATACAAAAAAATTACAACTGCGTTTTGATAGATCTTCACTCACCACATAGTTTCCTGGAGATGAGGAAGAGTAGGCTATCTGCAGGGGGACAAGGGGAAACAACAAGTCAGATGTGAGGGTCAGAAGATCATATATACAAAAACTATACAATCGAATAAAACCCAAAAGCAGTCCAGCAATAAAAACGTTATCGTTTTATTGAAGCTGCCAGGAAGGTGTTATTTAAACTGTTTCTGCTGTTCAGCTAAAAGCCCTCCAACACTGTTTTCAAGAGGAAAAAAAGCTGTGGTTACTAAAATCATTCAGTGACTGATGGAGCACAACAGAACAACAGTGTGCAACATCAACGTCTCTCTGACATGGTTTAAACCAAAACCAGACATCCTACCTCGTGTCAAGAACTTTCTTAATCTGCTTCAGAAGGCGTCACATACATACAGTCATTTATAAATAATACAAAGCCTAAAGTCTGCAAAGGGCTGCTGCTGACTCACAGAGTTAGCATTAGGTCCTGGCCAAGGTCCTCTTCCTCCGGGACCCCTGAGGAAAAGACAGAGAGATAAAGTGTTAGATTAAGATGAGAATAAAGGGGGAAACGGAGGGAAAATATGGGACGGTGACAGTAGTGTGGAGAGGTCACATAAATAACTTTGGGAAAATACAGCACAAGTAAAAGCAATAAAGCTGCTCGGAGACAATGATGAAGAGTCACTACATTTTACTAGATGCAGAGGTGTAGCCGAGGACATGGATTTTGCATTTGAACTCATTTGCTAATAGCTCCAAACTGTTAACTATGGATGGATTCAGAACATTAAAAAAATCTGTAATGTCTTTGGTCTTTAAAAAAAAACAAAAAAAACAAAAAGGAACAGCACAAAAGTTTGAGTGAGGAGGGAAAGAGCCACAGCTAAAGCCACCTGTACACTAATGCAACAGTTCACAGGACTCACATGTTCATTCCTGGCATTGGACCGCCCATGGAGTTGGGAGGAGGCCTCATGCCGCCATAATTCTATAAAGACAAGATGTTAAAAATCACTGTCAGAACATGCCACGCAAAGTTCTAAAAAAAACCCCCCCAAAAACCCAGTTATTCTTGGTTTTGGTGACTGCAAAGAAAACAATGTTTTGTGTAATTTTCTAGTAATAAATTTACAAATATGACACAAACCACTGGACTGGCAGTAGCAGATATGCTCAGATAAACAAATAAACCACAGACAGGCCTGTGCCTTTATTGGATTATTTCATCTGGGATCATCAGGAGCCTTTTGTTCGTCCCTCTAATTTGCTTGAAACTTGAACCCAGACTTGAATCACTAAAAACGATAGCTGTGAAGTTTCACTGGTTTTTCTCAGCATGCCATTAATAAAAATGGCAAATCTGCAATATCATAGCATCTCAAACAGTCTCTCAAAAAAACTTCCTAAGTTATATTGGGAGAACTTTTTCTTGCTTTCCTTGGGTTATGCTAACTTATCGAACAATATTTTTGCTTTTGTGGTACAACTTGCGATTCCTGCTCAGTCAGTTTGGAAAGTTTGTTTTTGTGATCAAGTATTTCAATATTAAATAGTTTTATGCATGTAGTGTTTGTAGTATTTTGACATGTGGCTACACATGGTTCAGAAAATATCACTAACTTACTTCTCAATTATCTATTTGTTGTTATTTTGTGCTCAGTGACGTGACTTTTTTTCAAATTTAAACTTACCCTAATCTGAGTATATTTGATTTATTGGTCAAATATTGCAGATTCTGAATCAATGCTATAATGAGAAATAATACTGAAAATTCAGGACTTTCATCTCAAACAGGTCCTGAGATATTCAGACACAGACTCAAATTTCAATGTGGAGAAAAAAAAATGTTTTCAAGGTGGGTTGACAGGTAATTTTTACATAAATGTTATCTCGTAAAGTATTCGATATTTTAAGCTCAAATTTCACAAACATTTGTATAAATTTCCATATTTTCTGCTTTAAAAAATGTCATTAAAAATAGGAGAAGTTGTCCTACAAATGTAATCATTTGAGATGAAATGACTCTTATCAAGAATCTACAACTGAAAAACATTTACAAGTTTAGCCTGTGAGAGGAACCACATCCATATAGACAGCTTCAGTTCCGTCCTACCTGTGGGCCCATGGCCATTCCTCGGGGAGGGTTCATTCTCATTGGTCCACCCATGTTGGGATGTCCTGCGAGAACAGACCGGCAGAGTCACACACACACATTACACACTCGTGTAAATCCACATATGTCTCGTCTCCTAAAGTCAGGAATTAAGACGTGCCAGACAATGCTTCATCCTAATCCCATTAGTTGAAACCATCGGGCCCCCGGAGCTGTAATCTGCAGCTAAAATCACCACAGACCCCTTCCTGAGCCAGACCCGCCCACAACCATTCTGTCTACAGGAAACAATCACACAAACTGATGACAAACTACAAGTATTTGTTGGGTGCTGACTTACCAACAAAGTTTCACTATTTGCAGGTTCTAGACTCCCCAACATAAGGACATGTTGCCTCTTTTATTTTCACACCTCTTATCGTTTCAGATCTAAACTGTGTTCAAACAATTGCATCTCTGAAAGACTTACAGACTTTATTGGTAACTTTTCTAGTTGCTAGCTATTGCAAATATAGTCATTTGTTACAGACACGTTATGGTCTATTGATAAAGAGTTCATTTTATTGTAAATCACATCAACTCAGGCCTGCGACTCTCTCCAGCCTTACCTTGCGGTCTTGTTGGGTCCAAACTGTTTGGCAGGAGAGGCTGAGATCCTGGGATTCCCCCAGGAGGCTGAGAAGAGAGCAGACGTGGACACTGATCAAGAAAACTGGAACACTCTTGGCAACACGGATTCTCAGAGTGGTCAAGAAATCAACATGAAAGTGAGCAGCACACTTAAATTTCGAGTTCATTACCTGATTTGGCATTCGGAGTGAGGGGCGCGGCCCACCTGGATACCGCGGTGACATGAAAGGCTGCAGAGGGGAATGGAAGAAGGAGACAAGAGGGGGAAGGAAAACCAGGGTGGGAAAAGAAGGACACGGGAAAAAAAAAAAAAAAACGACATTTCCATTATTGATAAGTCCAAAAGCACTCAAACAGGGGTAGCACCGAGGACACACAGATGGACACAGTGTGGTTGGAGAATGAAGGATGACACTGAAAACTTGCAAATTCAGCAACATATCAGCCTGGAAACCAAAAAAATGACACTGGCACAAGAGGTTTTTGATTTTAAACAACGCTCGCTTGCACCAACAATGTGCACTCCAAGCATGAATCTGAGTGTATGTGCATGTTTTTGTGTGTAACGGCGGCGCTAGAACACAGCTCCCTGCACAGCCTGCCCCGCTCTCGCTGTGGTGTAAGCTGATTCGGCCTGTGGTCTGCCTGGCGTAGTTAGAGACACCTCAGGCCAACAACACCGTTCAAAACCTTAGCGGAAGCATGTCCACACTCTCTCGCACACAAGACGGAAACCAGAAACCACAAGAATGAAGAGCTGAGCTGCCGCAGTTAATGGGCAAAGGCTAGCTTTACCTCCACCGTGGCATCTGTAGCCGCTGTTCTGGATAAGTGCTGAAACACACGGTGACTGGGGATGGAAGCTGTTGCATATGCTCTCATCTAATCACCAGCTTTGGCAACCCAGACGTCAGACCGCCTTGTATGTGTGGAAAGTTTAGGTGTAACCCATGTGCTCGGTACGTATATGTGACGTGTTTATAAGGCCCGTCCCTTGTTTTATTTATAAGGTGCCAGAACAAGTAAGCAACGGGGGGAGGGGGAGGGGGGGAGGGGGAAGAGGTGTGTATCTGTGTGCGTTTGTGCATGTGTGTGAAAAGAGTGCAGGAGAAGATAAGTGTGCAACCCCCCACAAGCTGCTCCGGGGGAGGGGCAAGGAGTGAATTATTCATCCCACAGAGGGACAGCCGATTCTGGGCCTTGAAGAGGAGCGGGCCCTGCTGCCTCTGGATGCTCGGCTTTCATAAAAAATAAAAAAAAAAAAGGACCTGGCAACTGGAGGGGCTGACATCTATGGGGAGTTAGCCAGAACAAAACTAGAGCTCGCAGGGCTCAAGGGTAGAAGAAGAAGAAACTGTGCAAGTCGTGAATTGGGGAGGAGGGGGGAGGAAGCTTGTGTGTGGGTGAGGGGGATTTAGAGGGAATGAAAGAGAGAGGGGAGTTTGAGAGAAAGTGTTTGCGTCTTACCTGGCCATGGGGTCCCATCATTGGGTTGCTGGGGTTGTGTGGGGGGGGCTGTGCGTGGGGGGACTGCTGAGAGCCGGGTGGTCCCTTTAAGAAAGAAGAGTGATATCAGCGAAGGGGATGGGGGCAAAATGTGGGTTGACACCTGGAGGAATTAGCCGATCAAAATTATAAGAGAGAGGGAGGGGAGGGGAGGGGGGGAGTCGGTGGGGAGTCTTTAGTTTGAGGAGGAAGAAGAGAAGCAGGAAAGTGGAAAAAGCCGGACATTGTGGGCAAATCCTCTGAAATCTGCAGTTAAATAAGGCACTTATTAACAAGAAACACACAATTAAAAGTCCTAAGCTGACAGAAATCGGTATTTAGTGCAACTATCTTCTTGGATGGCCTTAACATGTGACGCTACACCAGCAGAGGTGATCCTCGGGACCCTCCAGTCAGAGGATTATACGTTTTCCTCTGAGCCACACGGGGGCAGTATTGCCAAAGGCTCGCTGCTACAGGACAGGCAGCAGCAGCAGCAGCAGCAGCAGCAGCAGGACAGGCACTAGTGGCAACTTCAAACCAGAAAGATGATACTGACAAAAACAAGTACAGGCTGCAAGTTTTTTGTTTTTTTCTTTAAGCTTGCTTCAACGTAAAATCATGTTCCTATGCACCAAGCAGGCAAACCCCTTTCCCCGCTCGTCTGACACGCTGCTGCTTTTATTGCCGACATGTCACCCCAAGACAAGAGGTTAATGACCTCTAATAAATAAGTCATTATGCAACAGTCTCTTTTTTTTCTGCTCTATCTCCGTCGATGCATTTCAACGCTTCACTTTTCTTCCTTTTCCAGTTGTCCGAAGAAAACAAAAGCTGCCCGATTTACGGATGGCAAATGGAATTTTCCATGTATCCCTCCTAGGCATCCGGACACACACAAAGACAACACACATTGATTACCTCAGTGAGTCTGGGAGTATATGTACTTACATTTAGCCAGCGAAAGCAAGCTTTTGGCTCTGACATTATAAACCATGCTGACATTTGACAAAAGGCCTCAATAAATAACACCTGTGCTCTAGCAGGTAAAATCTAAACCAAGGTAAAAAAGATATCTGGAGTCTAAGCAACACTGTTTTGTTGGTATTCAACACAGAAACACGTAATATGTGAATTAGGGTGGGTATTGAATCTCTGCTTTTTTGGTGTCAGTTTTTGTTTGTCAATTAACCAATTAGTTGACTGACAACAAACGAATCAGTTACTTTAGAAAATGTATTTAATTGTGATCACTTCTTACACATAAATCCAGACTCGCTCACATTCATTAGCTGCAGCCCAATTTACAGCACAGAGCATCGAAAACCGTCAAATACCAAAAGCAGACATCAAATATTTTTCTGGTTTGTAACAATGATTCACCAATTGCACCAATTCTCAAAATGTTTCTCTCCCGACAGCAGATCTGATGCCTCAACTGAGAGTTTATGCCAATACAGATGATGACTGATCTGATACCAGTGCTCTCTTTTCCCACATTCGAAAATTGCGTGGATATGCTGCGCTGCTAAAAGCTGAGTCAGTTTAATGAATGCGACTGGAAAGAAAAAAAACTCAACTTAATGATGACAGAATTGAGAAAGAAACAGTTTTTAATGCCTCTTGACCCACTTAATAAGGTCGGTATCTCAAAAGAAAATTAATTTAGAGAAAATTAAACTGACGACTATGTTGATAGTTGATTAATGAGTCAGTTTTTTGGGCAAAAAATGACGAAGGTTGCTGGTTCCAGTGTGTAAACAGAGGATTTGCTGCCTTTTTTGTATGCATGTATGATATTAAACTGATTATTGAGACGACTGACCTTGTGGTCTGGGAAACTGTGTGATATGTTGTTACTGTGATGGTTTATGAATTGAAAAAACTAATCAATTAAAAATGTTTTTTAGTAATGAAAGTAGCAGTTGGAGCTCTAATCTTGTTGTACTTAACCCTTGATCAGAGACTTTTGCAGAGCTGCTTGTGTTGCATGTAGTCAGTTGTTAAATGACAAATCAAAATAAATAAATTAACATTTCTTACGGTCGGGTATCAGAACAGGTATTTCTTAGTTGTCGGGGCTGTTGTTAAGCACAAGCACCACTATCAGAAAGATTTCAAATGACACTCTGCCTGAGCGTTGAGCATTTCCACATTTGCAGCGAACAACCAAAGCTTTCCGTTAGGTCCCTTGAACGCAACGTACACACAAACACACAGACACACACAGACACACAAACCCTCGCCCAATCTCACTCCCCCACCAATGTTAAAAATAGCACTTCCATGCGTCTCTCGTCACCCTCTCTCTCTCCCCCCACCCTTCCCCTTGCTTATTCACAGTCGTACTCTCACTAGTCGTCCCCCCACCACCACCACCACCACCACCACCATCACCACCGCCGTCCTCGCTCTCAGCCAGCAAACAATGGGGTGGTAGGTAGCCACAGAAACAAACACTGGCCCACAATCCTGGTGGCACTGATCTTTCACATTTCCCTCTCTTCTTCTTCCTCCTCCTCCTCCTCCTCCTCACCCCTCTTCCTCTCGCTCTTCCTCTCTCTAACCGTCCCCCTCGCTTATTGTGTCACTCGCTTTTTTCGCTCCTACTCCTCTCCACCACCTTATCGTGCCTCCTGCCAAATGCCAGTGCTGTCCATCACACCACTGCCTCACGGAGGATGCGCCTGTGTGTGCGTTTGTTTGTGAACGTGCAATGCTTGTATGTGTTTGTATATGTAACCGTGTGTGTGTGTGTGTGTGTGTGTGTGTGTCTGCGCGTCTCATTCTCCTCACTCTTCAGACAGCCATCTCCCACACTAAAACCTTTCCCTTCACAGAGCCGGGACAGGTCAGAGACAGACGGAGATGGAGATGGAGGAGTGGGGAGAGGATGAATGCGGGATGGCTGAATCACAAATCGGTTGAACAGCAGCCCAGCGAGAGCAGAGCCACAGATGAATGAACAGTGTGAGCTTCAGAGGCTCTGGTGGGTGTAAATATCAAGAGCGGAATAAACACTGTTTGGAAAAATTTGGAGGGGGGAAAAAGGGAAAAAGAAAGTCGGAGAGTTGGAGACCCAAAGTCGAACTGTGGTGTCACTTGATCAAACTTCATTATTGATTTTACAGTGAGAGACTTAATTAATAGAGCTTAGACTGATACTGGATTTCTGAAGCTGATACTGCGACTTGGCAAACTTTCAAAGTCTGATAATCTATCAGAGGATATTGTTATTGTTCAACATGAATGTGACACATTTTGTGCTAAAGATATGTCTGATGAGTTGCCAAAATCCATTTTTGTAGTTAAACAATAAACTTTTTTCATCAAATTACAACAATTATATAATAGCGCTGCTGTCCTGGGACAAAGTTTTTCAGATAAACATGAGGTTTAGTTGAATAAACCATTAAAAACTTAATTAGAATATTCAAACAACACATTGTCAATAAGGTGGAAACCAGGCTGGTTCTCTTTGCCCCTAGAAGCTGTTGTTTAACATTTTATTCACATAACAGCAGTAAATTGTGAGCGTAATTAGAGTCATAACTAAAATCAATAAACATGACTTGAAATGCAAAAAAACCTTAATAACTTGACATGAAAGAATTTTAAGTCTACTATGCATAAATGTGCTGCCAATAAAACATCTACAGCTACAGGTTACTGCTCTGCATTTATTTTTGCACATCTGAAAACACAGACTCCAATAAAAATGCTGATATCAGTCTGGCTGAAAGTGCTATGCCGAAGCTTTTCGCACAACATCAAAAGGATCTGAAAATGAAAGTTAAGTTCTTCTCCACCTTAAAGCCATAAAGAGATACACTACACATGCATGCCACACAGCGAAAGTGGACATGAATTTTAAAATAGGGCAAGTAAGTCAAGTGTGAAAGAGCTGTTTTTGCCAGAAAAACAGAAAAAAAGATTACTCTTATATTGGTGATTGTCTTTTTTTATTTTATTTTTTTATCTGAAGTGGTTATTGGTAGGTGAGCAAATTCTCTTTCACTGCCTGGTGCTTGAAATGGAATTCAATGACAGTTTATTTTTTTCTCTAGAGTCAGAAATGGATGGATGACAGACAGAGATAAGGAAAAAAGAGAGAGAGAGGTGGGTTTGGAAGTGGTGGGTCATACCTGGAAGAAGCCTGGGGGCATGGGACCACCTGGCATGGCGTCGTTGGGGGGCATGTTGCCCATCACTGGGCTGGGCGCCGCCGCTGCGCTCTGAAACACACAAATACCAGCAGTTAAATGTGGTGTTTTACATGTGTGGGGTTCTTGCTGCGCTACAGTAACACTGATGCACTGGCCTCCCAATTACTACAGGGGGCAGTGTCTGCATCTGCAATCACAGCAAACCCCCCCAATCCCCCAACCCATTTAAAGTTTAAATTGTTAATTCAAGGTATCTTCTATTACAACCTTTAAACTGTTCCCTCATCTCTGTATCTACGTGAGAGGAAGAGAAGGGCAATAACCACCTCTTCTCTTCCTGTAGACAGGCGTAGAAGCCGAGGGGACTGGTTCAGGGAGAAAAGCCACAAAAATGTTCTTCACATGCTCTGGAAGAGTTTCAGTGACATAAGGCTGAAAAGAGAGCAGCCTGCACCTTTTATCTGTACCACCATACGCACCATTGTGTACTGAGGAACAACGTTGTCCTGACTGACTGTCCAACACTGAGCTGTTGCATTCAAGACAAAACTTCATATTAAGGACAGGTATCATAATCAGTTTGCATGTTGCAGCTCTTCTGGTTTGTTTTTGTTGTTGTTTCCACCAAACTTTTTCATCATTTTCTTGTGCACAAATCAACTAAACATATTGCATGGCAATACTGTAATGTGTAACACATTAAATGATCTTACAACACCAAATACATTGCTAGTTTGTTAGTTACAGCTGAGTTCTTGAAATGTAATCAAAACAACACCAATACAGAAACCATACTTTTGTAAAGTTACATGCTTTGTTGGTATCACGCTGGCTTTCTTCAATGGTTCTATTCTTAGTCATCTTGGAGGTGACGTTAAATGAACTGTAATATGCTACCAGATGCTTCACAGACCATAGCTAGTTATTTTAGTCAAATATTTTGCATATATGCAACTTTGCACAGACAAGATCTTTTCCCTTTACAACAAAGCCATGTGTCAACAATGGCTCATTTGCAAGAGCTCGGGATTTACATTTTTAGAGTTTAAATACATATATTTATTTTTGTAGCACTTGAAATTTTAAATTTATTTTATATTTAAATTTTCGGACAAAATTGTTATTGTTTTAAAGCATAGTACTTTTGCTAATTTAATAGTCAGAACAGAAAATGGAAAACATATCTTTAAAAAAACCCAATCACTTCAGTAAATACAGGCTACCATTCATAATTGATAATAAGTCAGATCAGTCAGTTAGATTTCTCTACTAACTAACTTATTAGGATGATGGGTTTTTTTACGCTATTTAAATAAAGTAACAAGTCATCTGCAAATAAGTTGAGGTTACACTGTTTTTTTGCCCATAAGAGGCTGATTTAAGCAAGCAGGACAGCAAAGATATTTGAAACTAGATATTGTGCAGAGCTTCTTTAATGCTTCTTTCTTTCTTTCCAATTAGTGTCTTTTTCCTAAAGCGTCCAAGTAGCGAAATGTACATGTTCAGTATAGTGAATAAAAAAAAATGACATCTACTTGGTCTTAAGAAAACCTTCCACATCTGACAAGAAAATAATTTTGCTTGGAATTCCTAATGCAACCTATAGCATCATTTCACACATAGAAAATGTAAAACTAAGGAGAGCAACGGCAGAATTGTTTAAAAGCAACAAACATCCGTAACACTCCAACCTGCTGCTTAACCATTGCCGAACACATCAACACCACTACGGATTTCTGTCCCCTGTACGTCAGTTTAACAATATGGCAGAAACACAGAATCTAGAATAGAAAAAGGGGGTAGAATGATTCAGCCCGGGAGTTAAATATGATATAACTGTATTCTTGTCAACACACATAGAAGGAGACGCATGTTCAGAGTGCTTACATAAGCAAGCCGGAACAAACACACACATGCACGCAACCCACATGGACGCGAAATTCGCACGCACACAAACAGACACACAAAGAGTTGCATCACAGGCTCACAAAGTGCAGTCCTTCAGTACAGAAAGGCAGACAGGGGAGAACCGCAGGCTACAGGACAGAACAGAGAGGGGGCTTAAGACCCAGGGGAGGGAGGCGCTCTCGCAAACACACACAGACGCACACGCTCGTGCGCGGCCACCGATCCACCAGCACGCACACCTCACGGACACACTGCATCCATGTGACACATACTGTACGCCTGGACAACAACGCATGCTCCCAATTACACGCATGTACACAAATACACTCGCTGCCCTTCGTCTCCTATCTGAAACCAACGCAACATGAAAACTGAAAAATCACACACCTCCCCCCATCTTTATGCTAATTCTGCTAGTGAACATGAGCAGGCCACTGAGTCCCTGGGGAGGAGGCAGGGTCGTCTGCCTCTTTCTCTCCTTCTCCATCCTCCCTTCCTCCCTCGCTCCTTCTATGCACTTTTCTCCATCTTTTTTTTTCTCCTATCCATGACCCCCCCCCCCCCCCCTCCCAATTCATTTTTCTCAACACTGGTGCACATAGACATTCGCACACATACACCTTCCCTGTGCCCCAACCCCTGTACTATTCCTACCCATCACAACCTCTCCTCCCCTCAGTCCCCCCCAGTAGGGTGTCAGCAGCTTGCAGAAGCTGTTGCTATGGAGACAGGTCCTATCTGCACTCTGTCCCCCTGGCATCCCCCGCTCCAGGAGCGCAGAGAGAGAGAGAGAATAAGAAGATGCAGGAGCGAGCGAGGAGGCACAAGAGTGAGATAGAGAGAGAGAGAGAGAGAGAGAGAGAGAGAGTTAGAAGATGCAAGAGTGAGACAAAAAAAAAACAAAAGAAGAAAAATGTAACACAGAGAGAGATTTCTGTTTACAATCACTCACTTATTGTTATGGACTAATAATGACAATTTATCTGCTCGTACAGTCTCCAGTTTGTTGATTGAAAATGAATGCAAAGCGTGCAGAGTGAGCGCAGTTGCCACCAGCGAAAAGGAAGGTAGATTTAGTATGCAGTTGGACTTTATTAAAACCAACTGGCCTGGGGAAATACAAAAGGATCCAACAGTGCTTTTTTAGTTTTTGTAGTGGCACACACAGTACTGTCTATATCTATCTTTCCATTTCAACTCCTCACTCAGAAGCAGGAGACTGTCAGAAAATCTCGCAACGAGGCTACCTCCTGGAAACGGAATAACATGATTCACCAAGAAAGTAAATCCACAGGAATTTGTCTTGTTGACATTTGTGCAGGTAAACAATGACTGTTAATGCAGAGAGAACATGCAGGTATAGTGAGCACCTTTATGTACAGAAACAAGTCCAAGACGACAGAACATTCCACAGCAGACATCAGTGCCGCGCTAATTAGTTGATATAATGGACATTTTTTTTTTAGGTGAGTTGAATTATTCATTTTTAGGCATAATGTATGGAAAAGTCTGTAAATGAAGGAGTGCGAAACACACCTGGTGGCAACACAAGCTGAGAGAGCTTTAATGCCTGACATGCAGCAGGAAGGAGAAGAATATGTTTCTTTCATTGAAGCCGGCTGAAAGTTCAACAAAACCCACGGGACACATTTTCAAATGCCTGGGAATATTTACACTGTTTAAACTGTAAACTATATTTTAATGGCCTTCCTCAGCAGCGCTGCACAAACACCCGTGTCAGAGCAACCTGGAGCCACGTCTGCACAAAAATAATATTAGGTACGTTTTTAATGTTACCTGGCTATCAATAATACAGTATCTGGCCTACAGACCTGAACTGTAGCTCATCGCTGTGGCTACAGTAATTCTGGATGGAGAACTGCTAACTTTAGCATTTTTACGGCGTCATTTAACATTGTCAGCCTCTTTAAAATTATATTTAAGGATCTACTGACTGCCTGACTACATGAAGAAAAACTACACTATGTGCTGTTTAAAATAAACTCCAACAAATCAAGTTCAGCTGGATATATGTACCAAATCAAATAACAAAAGTGATCCAATATCTCGATTAACTCTTTAATGAATAAAAGACAGAATTTGTCAAACCTGTTCAGGCAGCGACTGTGACACAGGTAGTCATACAAACATCTATAAATATCCATAACAACAACATATCATCCACTCACAAATGTTTAAGCAAAACATAATAAAGATAAACTAACAATTAAATCAAGCTGATAGTGTTGTCTGACTGTGGCCGCCTCACTGATCAGTGGATCCACAGATTATTCTGGTAGACAGCAGCCACTGGTTTCTCTTTTTGTGATGAAACCTCAGACCAGTGCTTAAATTAGGTGCTGTGGTGGCCCGAGGCTTTTGTGCGTGTCATCCCACTTTCCCTCCTCAGGCTTCCTGTTCCACTCTATTACACACTTAAAAAAAATAAAATAACAGGCAAAAATAGGCACCCTGGTGGACAAGTAGTTGTACTGTAACTGAAGCTTCCTTGATTTAGAGTCCCTATCGCTCTGTGTTTTCTGTCACCTCTTGGGTGGAGCTGAATGATATAGCTGAAAAGCTTATGGCATCAATTATTATTGATCATTTTTAATGGCTTATTTTTAATAAAGCGGACCTGCGTGCTTCAGGACACCTGCACGGCAGCCATGGGGAGAATGAGGTAGGGGCAAAGATGCTCCATCATCAAGGTAGGTATGAAACTGGAGCTTGGGGTTTGTTCATGCAGTCTAACGTTTTTTTGTAACGTGCGCCTCACGCCAGTTTCTGTATCTATTAAACCGTTTTTAAAATCAATGATGAAGTGTCTATCCCAGGTAAATATCGCTCCAATTATATTGTCCAGGTCTACTCTTGGGTATACACGAACCAGTGAAGCTTAAAAATGTCACCCTCCTCCAATATCCCTTAATTTAATAACAATAACGACAATAATTAAAGTCATTGATTCAATTTTCCAATATATGAAGATATAAAGTACTAAGCATCACTTAAAGACGCAACCTTGGGCTCTGTGAAACGTACGATGTTCTTTTTCCAGCATTTTATAGCCCAACTGACTGAGCAAGAAGAAAAAAATGAATCCATATTAACTGATAAAATTACACGACACTGAGGCAGGTTGGCTGCAGGTACCAAGT